CCCTACTGCATTGTACACAACATCGATATCTCACTTGTATAGGGTCATTCCCTTTTTGTGTGGATGTAGATTGTCCGACAGACTTGCGTCCGGCATACTTGCGTCGAATCCCGACATCACGATCAAAATCCGATCGTACGTGTCAAAAGCTTTGTACTTGAATAGTTTCTTTTCGGAACGTAAAAACTCATATTTCGTCATATCCCAGCACACTCCTGCCATTGTGACAATCACCATTGGCAGCAATGGGACATGCTCTCATTCACTGTTTATTTTTGTTTTGTATTTTCATTTTTGAACATAGACATACTTGTCTGACCTTGTCCTGTGGACCAAGAATCAGATCCCTGAACTTGCGAAACTTCTCAGCTTGCAATGGCTTAGTCATGAAATCCGCAATCATATTGTCAGTTGGACAGTATTCGATCGTAACATTTCCTTTCTCAACTTGATCTGTGATACAAGATATTTTTCTTGATCGGATACCCTTGCCACTCCAAGAACAACTTTGTCCATAGTATCATCGTGACAACATTGTCAACAGCAATCAGTTCCGCTTCCGTACTGCTTCTGCTGTTTAGCTTTTGCTTCTTCAACATCACTTGAGCTGCACCTCCTCCAAAGGACAGAGAGCCGCCAGTATGGCTCTTGAAATCTGGATGCACCGCAAATGATGCGTTGATCATCCATTTCATGACTCGTAGTGATTCTGCGGAAAGTGTCAGGTGATACAACAATGTACAAAACAAATATCGCATCATGCGAACACACTTCTTCCAATCAGACTCTGTAGGTTCTCAAATTCTTGAGGCAAGAACAGTAATCGTTGGATGGATATCCAAACGAGCTCTCTTAGAGACATAAAGTCCCCTTGCAACAGTAGTATGAAAGATTTGACGGTACTCAGCATTGAGTAACTTTCCTTTCCCAGCTTCCAGTAAATCGTTACCAGCTGGTGTTTCCTGCTTTGAATCCTTGTTGAACTTGACAGGAAAATCTTCCAACATGTTCTTGACATAGTCGTCCATGCGGATTTTGAGTTTTCCTTTCACCAAGAAATCCAAAGTCATTCCAAGATATCTGTGTATCTTTCCTCTGACGATTTTACATGCCTGGATCGAACCATATCTCATGTTCAACCACTCAGCAAATTCGTCATTTACTTTTGGATCCATGTGACTTGACATAAGATTGTCAACATGAAATCTGATAGTTTGCTGTTTGTCATCAACAACTTTGTTAGCAACACACGGGTCATACGGATTGAAAACAAACCCCCTTGCCTCCAAATCACTTCAAAACTGATTATAGAATAGGAGGCTCGATTGTAACATCCCATATATAGCACGCAGTACCAGCACATAGATTACTCGCTTTCTGTTCTCTAATACAACGTATTCGCAGTACTCTGGGGCCATGTCAATCAATATCTGGACCATCATGCCAGTGATTTTCATGTAGACGCAATCTTCTCCTTCTTTAGCATCAGGCATATAAGTTTGAATGAAAGCGTTAGGTACGTCCAGCGTCATTACATCTCTACCTTTGTGTGCATCAATAACACAAGTAGTGGTGATTGCTTCTTGTGAAGCAGTTGGACTTGCAGTGTCCTCTCGCGATAACCATGCACAAGTTCCATTGCCTCGGAATACTAGGCGACCTTTAATTGTCTTTTCGAATTGCTTCTCTGTGAGTAACATCATCGCTGATTGGGCCTTCTTTCGCTCAGACGCGGTCATGTCTTTAACAAATTCGGGAGTAAACAATCTCTCAGGAGCATTTGTCTCAATTCCTTATCCACAGCATCCTTTCCATCATCACCAAACTTCTTCAGTCCTTGGTTGATGTAATACTGTTGAATGAAGTTCAGACCTTCATCAGTATCAAACTTTGCCTTGATCTGCATCATGCAACAAGCGATCAGAATAGCGTCGTGCTCTTCATAATCAGCTTTCATCTCATTCCCAATCTGTTGGAAACATGGATTGTGCTTTGCTTCAAGGATAGCTTTACTGTCTTTAGTACTGCAACTTCCATCTTTGGTACAAATACCAGATTTTAACTTGTTCTTCAATGGTTTCAATTCTCTTTCTCAATGCTTGCGTCTTGTCGCAACTTGATTCTTGTTCTTATTGGCAGAACTGCCACTCCTGCTCAAAGGCCATTCTCTTGTTTTCTTTGGAACTTGGGAAAGGTTCAGCCCTGACATTGCAGCTTGCGCATACGTTTGCCCAGATCGAGTGACTTTTGCTACTTGAGGCATTTCAGGCTCAAATACAATCTCTTCTTCTGGTGGTTCTTGTAGGTCCTCCAGATCAGTAACGAGGCTCCCAATATCATCGGTTCCTCTATCAATATTTTCTTGATGGTGATCCAATTTGGCCACAATAGGTTCTTCCTCTTCGTCGCCTTCATCACCCAAATTGTCGTCTGATTCATAGTCATCATCTCCTTGGAATCTGACAGTGAGTTCTGGCATATCATCGGCATCATTGTCTGCATCTGCCAAGAGCTCTTCTCTTTTAGAGTCATCGATATCATCGAATTGTCCATGTAGATTGAAATCACGTTCATCTTCATCTTCAGGTTCATAGTCCTGATCAAAGGCTTCTTCTAAGTAACCTTGTTCCGTGTCATCCACTCCTGCGATTTGATCGCCATCTTGAAATGTCTCCAAATC